GGACAATTTTGGTACCAAAGTGAAAAGTTGAGGGACCAAAATGGTACTTAAACCTTCTTTTAATTTAAACCAAAAAATCGTTAGGAATTTCGTCTTACTTTTCTACTAATTTTTTTTAAAAGATCAGAATTTGGAGTTTAATTATAAAATAATTACATATCTCATTTTCATTAATAAGAGTTGAAAATACCACATACATTGTTCATGATTCATATATTACAAAAGAATAATGTTTTTTTTTTTTTATCAGCGAAACAAATAATATATATTAATCAGGAATATAAGAAATACCCCAAAATGGAATTACAACTATCAAATAAAATGTTCAAATGAAATCACATGAAATCACATTTGAAGCCCAAAACCAGCATCTTGGAGTTGACGATTTAGCACATGAATCAGCAACAATTAAGTAAAGTAAAATCATCCCACATCTCGTTGCAGCATGTGATACAATTTCCGATTATAACGATGTTGAATAATGGCATCCCTGCACCCCATCGGACTTGAGACCCACTCTTGATAGGAAAAAACACTCCCTTTCTCTTTATTTTTAAGCTATAAAAATGATTTATGTTGTATATACTCCAAAACTAACACCTCAGACATCAACTTTGTTCCAAACACCTGCATATTCCTCCGAAACCAAATAAACCAAGCAACAATCAGAAAAATGAAAGCCCCTGAGTCCACCAAACAACCCCCACTTATACCATGCGTCACGAACTTTGCCAAACCAAAAATATCTTTCGACAAAACACCCTGTAATCCCCACCATCGCAACACCTTCATCCACACTAACCATGCTCCTTTACACTCACAAAAAATATGATTTACCTGTTCAACTCCCTCCCCACATAATCCACAGCTCACATCCCCTCCCAACAGTGCAATCCCTCTCTTAAATAGGTTATCCTTAGTTGCCAACCTATTCAAAAATAATCGCCACCCAAAAACACTCACTTTAGACGGAGCAAACTTACACCAAATAATTCTCACCCATTTCTCAGCCAAAAGATAATCCTTAGGAGTTAAAAAAACATATGCATCCTTAATAGAGTAAACACCGTCAGTACTATGATCCCATCTCCATGAATCATCTTTATTCTTCTTTACCTTAATCTTATTAATAATCTCCCTAAACTTTTCTTCCTCCTCACCAATCCTCCCGGAACAGCTTCGTCGCCATCTACAATCCCATACCCATGAGCCCTCACTCCAAAAACCCATATCCTTCAATAGCCCCTCCTTGGTAACGCATACAATCTCGGAAATAAATCCTTTAAAGGTTTATCACCAACCCACTTATCATCCCAAAAAGCCACTCGACTTCCATCCCCAATCTCCCATTTAAAGCCTTTTCCTAACATTAAACCCAACCTCTCCGACCCACTACCAACACCCACAATGTCCTTCTACACTCGAGACATATGCAAAGAGCTGAAAGAAGTAATATCAACCTCCTTTCGACCCTTGTAATACTTCTCCCAAATCACTCTCTTCCATAATCCCACTAAACCATCACCTAACCTAAACCACCACTTGCCCAATAAAGCCCAATTTCTCCTCTTTAAATCATCCACTCCTAAACCCCCTTTCTCTTTATCCACACAAATATGATCCCAACTTACCCATGCAATTTTCCTCTCCAAAGTTGCTCCACCCCAAAAGAAATCCCTCTGAATCTTAACTAACTCAACAAGAACACATTTTGGAATTTTAAATAACGACAAGTAAAAAATAGGAAAAGCAGAAAGTACCGAGTTGAGCAAGGTAATTCGACCTCCAAAGGACAGCAGTGTACGTTTCCAGGCGGCAAGCTTATTCCAAAAACGGTCCAGCACAGAAACCCAAAACTTTTTCCTCCCCGAAATTCCTCCAACCAGCAAACTAAGGTAAATAAAAGGCATCGTTCCTATCTTACAATGCAAAATATCAGCTACATCGTTTAACTACCCTTTTGAAACATTAAACTCATACAAATGGCTCTTGCAAAAATTAATCTTCAATTCCGAAATTAATTCAAACCAGTGTAGGATAGCCTTCACTGTCCTTAAATTTTCTACCTCTGCTTTTCCCATAAAAACAGTATCATCCGCAAACTGTAATAAAGACAAGACCATACCACCCTCTCCAATCTTGACTCCCTTGAAAAGCCCTTCTGCCTCTGCTTTTCTAACCATACCACACAACCCTTCACCCACTAACAAAAACAAAAATGGGGACAATGGATCACCTTGACGAAGACCCTTGCCTACCGAGAACTCCTTTGTCAGACTTCCATTTATTAAAATAGACATTCGAGTTGTCGAAAGACATTCATGAATCCACTTTCTCCACCTCATTCCAAACCCCATTTGTTCCATCATCCAATCAAGAAAATTCCAATCCACACAATCATAAGCTTTCTCAAAATCAGCCTTAAAGATAAAACTCTCTTGTTTTCTCTGTTTCACCTCATCTACAACCTCATTCAAGATCAGCACACTATCTACTAGTTGCCGACCACCAACAAAAGCTGACTGTGAATCACTAATAATATCTGCCATCACCATTTTTAATCGATTCACCAGTATTTTTGCCAGTAATTTGTATAAACAACCAATCAAGCTAATGGGTCTATACTCCTTAAAATGCACTGGATTTACCTTTTTAGGAATTAAAGCCAAAAAAGAGGACTTTAAACCTTTTACTAACCTCCCATGTTGGTTAAATTCGAACAAAAAACTTCACAAAATCCTCTTTTAAAGTACTCCAGGCAAATTTTATAAAATTAAAATTGTACCCATCTGGTCCTGGCGCCTTCACCCCATCACAGCTCTGTAGTCCCTCTTCAATCTCCTCTACTGAAAAAGGTCATTCCAACCACTCCCTTTGTGCAATTGAGATTCTGTTGAAATGAACTCCACCCAACACTGGACGTTTCCACTGTTCATTATGAAACAACTGACTAAAATACCTCACTGCCTCCTCTTTCACCCTAATTGGCTCCTCAACCCACCCATCCTCTCCTAAGATACCTGAAATTGCATTTTGTGCTCTCCGTGCATGAACACACCTATGGAAAAAAGCGGTATTTGCATCCCCAAGACGAATCCAATTATTTCTTGACTTCTGCTTCCACATAGCGCCTCTTTTCGTCAAAATTTCCCACATCTCCTGAAAACACTCCCTTCTGAGTAACACCTCATTCTCATCTAATTCAATCTTTTCACTTTTTATATCTAGCGCTTCAATTTCCTTTGATAATATACCCCACCAAGTCTCCACATTATCAAAAACTTCCTTATTCCACCTTTTACATTCATCCTTCATTAACTTCAGCTTCTGCTTGCATTTATAAGCCGCCCATCCATCAACTTGCAAAGCATTCCACCTATCATCTACAAAACTTCTGAAATCTGGATGTTGTTGCCACGCATCAATTACCTGAAAAGGCTTTGGACCCCAATTTGTATTCCTTGACTTCAGAATTATTGCACAATGATCAGAAACTGACCTTGTAACACCTTCTTGAACCCACTCCGTGGCCAATAAACTCATTTCTACAAACATCAAAAATTTGTCAAGTATACTCATGGAAGATCCATCAGGTCTATACCATGTAAACTTTCTATTTCGCAAGCAAACATCGATTAACCCTGTGCTTTCCACAAAGTGATTAAAATCTTATATATCCTGCGTCTCCCTCATTTTACCCTTTCGTTTTGATACATTCTGGACATCATTAAAATCGCCTGCTAACAACCAACACCCACCCTCTTCTAAAACTCGTCCAACAATCTCCTCCCACAACAAAACCTTCCTCTGCCTATCACAAGGAGTGTACGCATTGAGTAAATTACATTTTTTCCTCTCCTCACCCCATTCACCAAAAACCCAATGAAGCCGCTCCCCTCTATCACACATTGTTTAACAAAACAACTTTTATTCCATATGCACAACAAGCCACCTGAGTTGCCCATTGATTTCTGCATAACCCAATCAAAATTATCTGAGTTCCACAATGCCCGACACAAAGACTCCTCAACCTCTTCTAATTCAGTTTCTTGAAGAAACAAAAAATCTGGATTCTCCTTCTTAACTAACTTAAGAATCTCCCTCCTTTTCAACCCATTACCCAAACCCCTAACATTAAAAGAAATAAACTTCATAATGAGAAAAACTCAACTCATTGTTTTCTACAAAGATCCACACCTGATCTTCAGGCCCTTCTAAAATTGGCTTCATCTCTTTCTTCTAAAGCCACCAATCTTGAAATCACCTCTTCCTCATTATTCTGACATTGAATCCCCAATCTTTTCCCCAACCCAAACAGCCTTCGTACCTCATCCAACTCCAGTTGCTGCCGGATCAGCTTATTACGATTTGGAATACAGTCATCAGACAAAGAAAGACCAGTTTTCTGTGATTCATTCCCCTTCTCCGATTGTCTTGCTGTTTCCCTTCTTTCCTTCCTACATCTGGTTCTTTCCGTCACCCACTACATCCCCCTCTCCCTTGTTTCCTCCGCTACCCCATCCTCGGCATAAATGTCCCCCAATTTCTTACATTTTTTAACCAACACAGCACATCCTTTCTGTTGCGCTCCAGCAGGCCGAAGCCCTCACGAGACCCATTTTCTACACCCAGCTCCTCAGCCTCACAATCCCTTGGCCCAACCGAGCCCACATTACTAAGCCCATCGATCTCCTAGCCCACTTAATTCAAAATTTTGAACAAAAGAATAATGTATGTGGTATCTTCAACTTTTATTAGTGAAAATGAGATATGTAATTATTTTATAATTAAACCTCAAATTCTAATATATTAAAAAAAAAACTCTAATAGAAAAGTATGATAGAATTTTCAATTACTTTTGAGTTTAAATAAAAAGAATTTGGTTTTTCTTAAATAAGATTTCAAATTTGTATCTTATAAATAGAG